AAAATTTGTAGTTAACAGTTGCCTAAAGTATTTCAGGATCCTCGCCGGTGCTACAGAACCTGTGCACTGTGCTTAGCTTCATCGGACTCAGACTTGAGTTAAAAGAACTACGGAGCACTAATGGGTTACTACCCGTGTGTGACATGATGTTAATCCGTTGTTCAAACCTCAAACCATACTCTTCGGCTTGTAGTGGGCGAAATTTGGAGTTAAAAGTTGTCTAAAGTATTTCAAATTCTCGCCGGTGCTACAGAGCCTGTGCACTGTGCTTAGCTTCATCGGACTCAGACTTGAGTTAAAAGAACAACGGAGCACTTATGGGTTACTACCTGTGTGTGACATAATGTTGATCCGTTGTTCAAACCTTAAACTATATTCTTCGGACTCGAATGGACTCGATTCTCTATGCCTGTCTTTAACGCTTGGCTGCAGATGGTGATCATACCCAATTTTGAAATTTCTAAATTGTCTAATACCTATTGTGTGACTTTTGAAAAGGTAGGTTTCTTTGTTAGTTAGTTAGTTAGTTAGTTAGTTAGGTTTTCATCATTGCACTCCGTGCATGTCTAAAGGTGCTCCGAACCTCCCCTCAGTATAAACCCCAGCGTCCGGTGGCCAATAGAACCAGTTCTATTTTGATTAACGAGTCGTTTGATGTGACTGGTGCGTCTCGTATTTTGCTATGCCGATCCAAACTCCCACGTCTGTGATCCTGGCTTGTGGGAGAGCGTGTACAGTTCGGAGGAGCAGATGGATCACCACAGTCTGGTGAGATTGATGCAGGGGAGAGTGACGAGAGGTTATGGCAGATGCTCGAGGCTTAGAGGAAAAGCAAGACTGACGTTTAATCAGAATGCTACTGGCACCATTAGTATCGGAACTCTGCGCTAGCTGCTGAAGATGGGAACGAAGTGCTTATGGGAATGCACCGAGTGCTGTGATGTCGGTTCTTGAATCAAATCAAATCAATCATTATCATGGCTAGCTATGTGGATTCACTGTCCCTAAAGTCCTTCGCCACTCCCACTATTGCATGATCCATAGTTTGACTGTCGGTAGTAATAACAGATCCATCCACCTATCAGCTCTTTCATTTCTATCGACACCCGTGTGTCCAGGAAAGAAATAAGGTTGACTCCACGCACAGCGGACTTCACAACCTCTTTGCGTTTGCATGTGTGCTTCGATGTTTTCCACTGGCATGTCAATTTGTTATTCAGTAAATGTCGTTTTCACTGATTTTACTTACTTTTAAGTTTCCTACAAACTTGTTCCAAAACATGCACGTTTAGATCTGTGTGCATGCCAATTGTTTTAGTGACATTATCATTTGCATCGTCAGCATCATCCAAGCTTCAAGAGCTGACCGAGGCCAGCAAACAGATGACAGATAGACTGATGGAGAACTACTTACAGTGGAGCACGCAGAACGGGGTAAGTGATACTAAAAATAGTAGTAAAAGTAGTAGTAGTAGTAGTAGTAGTAGTAGTAGTAGTAGTAGTAGTAGTAGTAGTAGTAGTAGTAGTAGTAGTAGTAGTAGTAGTAGTAGTAGTAGTAGAGGTAGTAGTAGTAGTAGTAGTAGTAGTAGTAGTAGTAGTAGTAGTAGTAGTAGTAGTAGTAGAGGTAGTAGTAGTAGTAGTGTTGGTGGTTCTGCTCGTACTGGTAGTAATAGAGGTGGTAGTCACAGTGGTAGTAATAGTAACAACAGTAGTAAGGGTGGTGGTTGTGGTCATAGCAGTAGTAGTAGTAGTTGTAGTGGTGGTAGTTCTGCTGGTGCTGGTGATGATGTTGGTAATATTAGAAGTGGTTGTGTCAGTGATGGTGGTAGTAGTAATAATGGTAGTTGTAGTGGTAGTAGTGGTGGTAGTAGTAGTAGTAGTGGTGGTGTTTAGTAGTGGTAGTAACAGCCGTAGCGATGATAGTAGTGGTGGTTGTAGTGTAGTATTAGTGGTGGTAGTAGTGGTGGTTGTAGTGTGGAGGCAGTGATGAAAGTAGTGGTGATTGTAGTGTGGTAGTAGTGATGATAGTAGTGGTGGTTGTAATGTGGTAGTAGTGTGGTAGTAGTGTGGTAGTAGTGTGGTAGTAGTGTGGTAGTAGTGGCGGTTGTAGTGTGATAGTTGTGGTGATAGTAGTGTGGTAGTAGTGATGGTTGTAGTGTGAAAGTAGTGGTGCTAGTAGTGTGGTAGTAGTGATGATAGTAGTGGTGGTTGTAGTATGGTAGTAGTGATGATAGTAGTGGTGGTTGTAGTGTGGTAGTAGTGATGATAGTAGTAGTGGTTGTAGTGTGGTAGTAGTGGTGGTTGTAGTGTGGTAGTAGTGATGATAGTAGTGGTGGTTGTAGTGTGGTAGTAGTGATGATAGTAGTGGTGGTTGTAGTGATGTTAGTAGTGGTGGTTGTAGTGTGGTAGTAGTGGTGGTTGTAGTGGTGGTTGTAGTGTGGTAGTAGTGATGATAATAGTGGTGGTTGTAGTAATGATAGTAGTGGTGGTTGTAGTGTGGTGGTTGTAGTGATGATAGTAGTGGTGGTTATAGTGTGGTAGTAGTGGTGGTAGTAGTGATGATAGTAGTGGTGGTTGTAATGTGGTAGTAGTGATGATAGTAGTGGTGGTTGTAGTGTGGTAGTCTTGATGACAGTAGTGGTGGTTGTAGTGTGGTAGTAGTGGTGGTTGTAGTGTGGTGGTTGTAGTGATGATAGTAGTGGTGGTTGTAGTGTGGTAGTAGTGGTGGTTGTAGTGATGATAGTAGTGGTGGTTGTAGTGATGATAGTAGTGGTGGTTGTAGTGATGATAATAGTGGTGGTTGTAGTGATGATAGTAGTGGTGGTTGTAGTGATGATAGTAGTGGTGGTTGTAGTGATGATAGTAGTGGTGGTTGTAGTGATGATAGTAGTGGTGGTTGTAGTGTGGTAGTATTAATGATAGTAGTGGTGGTAGTAGTGTGGTAGCAGTCTTGGTAGTGGTGTGTATGGGTAGGTGGATAATGTGTGTGTGTGTGTGTGTGTGTGTGTGTGGGCGTCTGTGTGTGGTGAATATTTGTCATCGGTGGACATGCTATAGCGGTATAAATGATACTAACAATGTAGTGCATATGTGTATGTGTGTGTGCGCGCGCGTGTGTATGCGTGTACCTGTATGCGTTTGTGTGCGCTTCTGTTTCTAGGTGTGATACAGAACTATGACACTAGTGTGCAAGCGCGTATGTTTAGGCATGTGTGTATATATGTGTGCGCGTGTCTGTACGTTTGCCTGTCCTCATTTAACCTGTAAATCTGAGCGTCTGCAAACATCATCGTCATCATGTAGCAGGTCCTTTGCAGAACGTTGCTCTCATCACAGTCTGCCTAAAAGAAACTAGGTCTCTCGCCAGTTCTCCCGCCTCATGAACTTTCACACTCAAGGAATTACTTATATCCTGTGCTCATCTTCGTGTTGGCCGGCCCCTGCCCCTCCTTCCTGGTACCATGCCTTCTGCTATAATTTTTTCCAATCCGTCGTGGCGCTTGATATGACAAACAGTCGGCAAACAATTTTTCAAAATTTGTAGCCATGTCCACAATTTAAGAAGCCTAGAGAGAATTATCCAGAAATCAATGGCAAACTACTGGACGTAAATTTACCTAGAAAAACCACAACATCCAGAAAGTGCTGGGGTTGGTTCTGCAACGTCCTGTAAAGGATGCGCAACTAACTTTAGACAGTATTAACACTCTTTGAGCAGCATTATTTTGTCACCACAGTGTAACTGTGTAACATTTGGTTATCTGATATTGCACATGACACAGAATGTACAATCGTTGAAAAAAAAGTACTAAGATTCATATCTTCTTTTTCTTGAGCATTCCGAACCCTTGAGGCTCATTGCTGCAGAAAACATTCCGTCTCCGCTCATCTGCCTGGTTAGCTTTTTCTTTCCAGTTGGTGACACCAAGTGTTTCCAGGTCTGTCTGGACATTATCTCTCCATCGTCTTCTTGGTCTTCCTTGTGGTCTACGAGCATTCATATCGTAAACTAAATATTAATACACATTCGTACGTCTTTCATTTTTATATGTTTCTTTTTCAAATCAGTCTTATTTATTAAACAAACTTTCGCCTGTAGCAAACTGAATTTGGCTTCTGCTTCAGTCTTTCCTTAACATTGAACGTGTATGTATAGACTTCCATCGTATGAGAAGTATATGGTTAACCGCCTTGATCTGTTGCATCTTTAAAATTAAACCAGCGATTCAGCTGGTTGGTGAAATCATGTATTAATAGTATTTCAAAATAATGGTGTTTAAATTAATTTAGATTTTTTTTTGGGGTGACCAATCAATAACCATAATGCCTTTACATTAAAACCCACAAGGGCATAGAAATAATTGGGGAAAATAACAACAAACAAACAAACAAACAAACAAACAAACAAACAATAACAACAAAGAAGGGAGCTCGAGAGTGATTTTAAACAGACTGGGTGGGCGTGAGATTGGCCTGCATGCGTTAGCAAAGGATAAGACAACTTGGCAAGTTGGTTGAAGAGCCTATGCTCCATTGGAGGAAAAAAAGTTGTAGAAGAAGATAAAAAGAATCTGCACTGGATGGATGGTGTGGTCAGTACCACGCCGGATGTTTTTACTTCCCGGGACATTACATGGGTATGTCTGGCAGTCAAGGTCATTTACGAAGAACATATGTTTTGTTGCGGATTCTTTGGTCAAGGGTTAGCTCAGTGGTTCTCAACCTGTGGATGGTTACCCCTTGGAGGTCGCCGGAACCTTAGACGGGGGTGGCATAAGACCATCGGAAAACACACATTCATTGAATTTATGAAGTAGCAACGAAAGTAATTTTATGGTTGGGGGGTCACCACAACACGAGGAACTGTATCAATGGGTCGCCGCATAATAAATGTTAAGAACCGCTGTTTTAGATGAAAATGATTTAAACCGCTTCGTTAGAGGATAAAAAAATGTTTGTGATCTTTGTCAAGCTGTCATTCTGTTTCTTTGATTTGGTAGATTCCAGATGCTAAGTTCGCTCACCCACAAGGAAAAGAGCAATGGCATGAGATCGTTAAGTACGCAGAGAAAGTGGGGGCGGGGCTTATCGTGATTGGCAGTAGAGGACAAGGCAAGCTTAAAAGAACATTCATGGGAAGTGTCAGGTAATCTGATTTTACATTTACGGTCATTGTACACTTCTTTTTTGTTTTACATGACGTTGTAATTTTGATTTGAAACTGAAATTTTGTTCACTATGAACTGGATGCTACCAAGACCCTTCGGGAGCCAGTGAATGGTGTAGAGGTACAACAGATCATCACAGTCTGAATAAGTAGAATGTTACAGCAGGGTATGACCAGGGTATCTGGCTGACATTGAACCCTCAGAGAAAAGGTAAGACAGATACTGGCGCTATCAGAACTGGAACTTTTCGATGGCGGCTGAAGATGGGAACGGAGAGCTTAAAAAATAATATCCCGAGTGGTGTTATTCCTAACTTAGCTCAGTTTAACTCATTTTACATTGTAATCTGGTAATCTGGTAATCCTGGTTTCAGCTTCATAGCAAACAGGTCACCCCACAGTTGCTCCGCTCCTGTGCCAACGAAAAACAAACGCAGCTCACAGTGTCACGCCATGCACTCAACTCAGAAGCTGGGCGACGAAACTACCTTACATTGTAAACTTTGCCATGTCAATTTGTAGTTAAAATTATCACAATAAAGCCAATTCTAGGTTAACATTTTTATTTTACATTGTTTTTCTGTTTCTGTCAAAAGCAAAGTTGAACGTTACGTGTTAACACTGTTTTTAGACACACGCAAACAAATGGACGCTAGGCAGGGGCACTGTTTGGAGCCGAGGCAAATTATTTGCTTCTGCGGGACGGTGGCCAGTGCATTTTTGCTCCATTTGTAGACTGGATATAGTTTCGTCGCCCAGCTTCTAAGTTGAATGCATGGCGTGACACTGTGAGCTGCGGATTTCATTTGAAATGTTTTTTTGTCTGTGACCAACGTGGTGGTGTGAATTGTAGATTCAGAAAATGGCACGATGCTTGTTGTCGCAATGTTGGTGGTGCCCGTATGTGATTAAAATTGATCGCTTGGGAAACTGCTGATCTACTGGTGACTTCTGCTACCATCAATGATGAACATAGAAATGATGAACATGAACAGCATTTCTAATGTCGGACTGTTTGTGTTAGCCCTTCGGATGGCTACCATATGCTTTAGTGCGTGTGTATGCTAGGTATGCTGAGACTGCAGTCTGTCAGTCTTTCCACAAGGGACTGTGATAACACTGTGGTTTTCGTTGGCACAGGAGCGGGGGGAAAGATGCAGTAACCCGTTTGCTATGAAGCTGAAACTAAGACTACTAGACTACCAGACATATACACACACACACTCTCACACACACAAACATTCATATATGTACAGAGTCGTCTTAAAAGCTTCATGGGCCTCTTGGGAAAAGCATTGTGCTGGTGTTCTTACAACAACCACTCAAATGAAAGAATGACATTTGTATTCATGGCAAGTCACTTGACATACACAGATTAACACAGGCTCTGTCTGTTTTTAGGGCACCCAAGCAGTGCCCAGCTGGCCCATGCGTTAAAGCGGCCCTGTACATACATCCCCTCGTACAACAACAGAATAGTGATGCAGTGGATTCCACGCCACTCCAGCACACCAGGTAATGACAGAGCTGACAGACTGGCAAAGAAAGGAGCAACACAAGAACAACCACCTACAGCGACAACCCTACAGACAGCAAAAACACTAATAAAAGCTATAAACAAAGAGACTTGGCTGAACAGATGGGCCATGGGAGATACTAGAAGAGAGATTTATAGACACATGGCTAGCCCTAATCCTAATGACAGCATTAACCATCTAACAAAAAGGGACCAGGCCACCATCTTCTGACTCAAAACACAACATACTCCACTCAATGGACACCTAAACAGAATACAGACACAACACTCCCCAGAGTGCCAGCTATGTAATTACCCCTAAGAAACTGTTGACCATCATCTCTTTGAGTGCCCAACACTCATGGAGACTAGAAGAATGCTACTCCCTCCTAGACCAGACAAGTGGAACACCTTGGACTGAGGAAAAGAACAGATTGTGAAAACATGTAAATTCCACTACATGGCATTGGGCCAAAGGGCGAAAGCTCATGCGCCGCTGGATCAATAACAACAACAACAACAGCCCTGTACTTGACAATCAAAGAGGATCCTAGAGACTGAATTAATTAAATAAAAATGGTTTATCTCTCAGATTTTGAACAATTTCTTGTCAGCATTACATCTTGATAATTTTCATTTTGCTTTTATTTCCATAGCGACAGTGTCTTGCACCACTCACCTGTTCCTGTTTTGGTGTGTAGGAAAAAGGAGGACAACCCTATACAACCAAGTCATTGAAAGACAGAGTTATGATCCCTGAGCCTGGCACCACTCTTGTCACAGACAAGCTTGCAGCAGAACCTCACATGATATCACATTCTATTGTCTCTTGCAGAATAATCGTTAACTTGCACTGTGAGTGATAGATTTTGGATGGCTTGTTCTTGGTAGACATTGTTGTTAACTTGCACTGTGAGTGATAGATTTTGGATGGCTTGTTCTTGGTAGACATTGTTGTTAACTTGCACTGTGAGTGATAGATTTTGGATGGCTTGTTCTTAATAGACATTGTTGTTAACTTGCACAGATGGGGTGACAGATGTTGCATCGCTTTTATATACCTTGGCAGACAACTTGCACTGGTGGGGGTTGGGTGTGGGGGGGGGGGGGGACAGATGTTGGATGGCTTATATATACCTTGGTAGACATGGTGGATGTTAACGTACACTCGGAGTGATAGGTGTTGTACTTTTTTTTTAAAGACATGGGTTAACTTGCACTGGGATTGATAAGTGTTGGATAGTTGGTACCTTGATATATATTGTTGTTAACTTGCACCGGGAGTGGTAAGTGTGGGATTGTTTGTACCTTGATATACATTGTTGTTAACTTGCACTGGAAGTGATAAGTGTTGGATGGTTGGTACCTTGATAGACATTGTTGTTAACTTGCACTGGAAGTGATAAGTGTTGGATAGTTTGTACCTTGATGTACATTGTTGTTAACTTGCACTGGGAGTGGTAAGTGTTGGATGGTTTGTACCTTGATATACACTGTTGTTAACTTGCACAGGCAGTGATAGGTGTTGTACCTTTTTAGACATGGCGTTAACTTGCACTGGGAATGATAGGTGTTGGATGGTTTTTACTTTGGTAGACACTGTTGTTACCTTGCAATGGGAGTGATAGGTGTTGTACCATTTTAGATGTGGAGTTAACTTGCATTGGGAGTTGTATGTGTTGGATGGTTTGTATCTTGGTAAACATTTCTGTTAACTTGCATTGTGAGTAATGGGTGTTGGAAAGTTAGATATTTTACAGTGAGAGAGACATTTATTTGGTCTGGTCTTTTGCTGAAATAGTTTTTACCTCACAAGAAGAGGGCCAACTTTGTTTTTAATTTTTTTAACTTTTGAAAATATAAACTGTTGTAATGTTGCGATAAGAAATAGTCCTTAACTTGCACTGGGAGTTGCAGATAAATAAATAAGATTCTAAAATGAATTACCATCGTTAGCTGAGGTATCACAGTAGTTAACTTACACTAAGTGTAAAAGGTTTTGGATGGCTGGCACCATATGCAAAAATATTTGTTAAATGGCACTAAGAAAAACAGGTGATTTAATGTTTGGAATGTAAGAGTGCAGTGTATGAGTTAAATACCATTTCTTTTAACACCTGGGAGTTCAGAGAGCCCAACACATTAAACGGATATATTCCAAGGTGGGGATTAAAACCTAGAAACACCATGTTCATTCTATAGGCAGAGTTCAAAAGATAACTGTTGAGATGTATCAGAAGATGCATGAATACAATTAAAAGCAAAGGGCCAATTCATACCATTTAGGAATCATGCATATCATATTAGATGCAACAGAGAAACTGCTAAATACCAATCTTGGCATACAGCATGTGGTAATGCTGACGGATGCAAAATCAGTACTTGAAGCACTCCAGTCTAGGAAACTACCAGAATTGCAAACACTGCTAACACAACTTAGCCTTCAGCAAAGAGTTGTAATGCAGTGGATACCATCACATTGTGGAGTGCTTGGAAATGAGAAAGCTGATCAACTGGCAGGAGAAGGTGCGACAAACGTGCAGCCGGATGTACCAGTCACACACCACCAAAAGAAAAGAATCATTAAATCAATCAGGAAACCACCAGCCCCAGCACAAGACGACTATTTTATTATGGACAGATCAGAACAAGTCATTATCCTTCGCCTCAGCACAGGGCACAATCGATTACGTAACCACATGTACACAAAATTCAAGATAAGCGTATCAGCCATGTGCACCTGTGGAAAGGTGCCCCAGACAGCAGAGCATGTACTCCAGGACTGCACCAAATTTGACACATTAAAACAAACCTTTTGGCCAGAAAGAACAACAGGGGAACGTACACTCTATGGACAACTGAATGAATTAACAACAACAGTGAAATTTATACAAGAGACAAAAATGCTGATATAGACAACTTATTTCAGGCGAACGAAAGAAGAAGAAGATATTAGATGAATCTAATTAGGCCAATCAATACTTGATGGGAGGTGTGGTTTTCATCATGTAAACCAATGGTCTCCAAACTGGTGGGCAACAGGACCACCCCTGCCCCTGTACAACATTAGACCAAAAATAGCAGGTATCATCAAGACAAAACACTTCAACCATCACAATGATATTGGGGCACTAAATTACCAGTTGTTGGTGATTGTTTCTTTTGTTTTTTGACACTGTAAATTATGTGCATGTTTGTCTCCAAATTCTTATTAACAGTCATCACCATGTGCTCTGTCAACTGGCCTGGGTACTCATACGTCTCCACCGATCACGATCCCTGGTTGCTTGGAAAATCTCTTGATGATATCCCTCCATGCCATCGTTTCAGCCGATCCATCATCACCTCTCTTGGTCTGCCTTGACCCCTTTCCCTACTGATCTTTCCAGTTGTCATGGTGTTCTCTAATGTCTCTCTTCTCATTATGTGGCCAAAAAACAGTGTTTTTTTTTTATTGTGTATAAAGAGACCTACTTTCATTAGCTTCTTTCAAGCAACCGTTGTTAGTTACTCTGGCCGTCTCAGAAACCACATCTCTGCTGCTTCCAAATTCTTCCTGATTTGTTCACTGACTTTCCAAGATTCCATGATTATTAACAGTTCTAGGGATTTTTCTTGTTGTCCTCCTCTTTCTAATCACATACTGTTATGTTACAAGTGTGGGGAGCCGTGGGAGGTTTTATGATTTACTCAAGGTGGGGACCACCTGTAAAAGTTTGGAGACCACTGATGTGGACCATCTTTATCTCCCCAGATATTTCCATGTACCAACTTTAGTCTGGGTCAACGTCACAACCCTGGTGATTGAATAAAATTTGTGTCCAGATTCAAATGTATGAGTGCTGTTAGATACCTTAAAGACAACAATATGCACACAAACTCTGCAATCTGTTGCAACTGTACTTGTGTTAATCTGTTGTAGATTGTAGAATATGCACATGCAATCATTTCGTTGCAAATAATTTATCATGTGTAGTTGATGTTAATTTAGTGTGGTACTTTATTGTGTATGTATCCTTTATCGCCCAGTTTGACTTTATGTTGTGTCAGTAAATAATCTGTATGGTATAAGAGCATAATGCCACTTTTGAGGCATCAAAATATTAACATGCACATTTAAAAAAAAAAGCTGATAAATGCCCTATTCAAACCAGTGCTGTGCTATTAATGCCAGACATGGACAGTGCTAGAAAGACATACATGCAAAATTACAACATGAGAGATGATGAAATGTAGAAGAGATGTGGCAGCAGAAACAAGATAAGACAGAATCAAAAAGGTTGAACTAAGAACAATGATAGGCACAGTACCGGTGAGTGATTTGATAGAACATAAAAGAATCAAATGGTTTTGAACAAAACCAGCATGTACTGAAAGAAAACGTAAGGACACGTCAAGAGGCCGACCAAGAAAGAGACAGGTAGAGGGACTAAAAGAGACTCTACAGAAATGTAATATGTGAGGTTTGAACAACGGATCAACATCATGGCACATGGGGAGTAACCAATAAGTGCTCCTTTCTTCTTCTAACTCAAGTCTGAGTCCGAAGAAGCTCAGCACAATGCACAGGCTCTGTAGCACCGGCGAGGATCCTGAAATACTTTGGGTGGATTTTTAACTCTAAATTTTGCCCCGGCAGTGCCGTTAGGCTACTCTTTTCGATTTCCAACTGCCAAGGGATATTTGTTTTTAACGTGCACAACAATACACCCGGGCATCAGATCTCACTTGAAGTCCAAGTTCACATAACAAAATCCCAGTGCTCACCAGGGATTGAACCCATAACCTCCAGCACTCAAGGTGAACACCATGCCTCGAGACCACGCAGCCCCTTAAAAAAATGATATCAACACCATATGACATTAACACAGGCTATGCAATTCGCAAAAAACTAAATTTATTTCCTGTCTGTGACATTTTACGAATGAAAGAACAAATTAATTTTATTCCAGGGGGTCATAAATTCGATATAGAGGCCCATCTTACATTCAGCCTTTCCAGATACTTATCTTTAATACATCAGTTGTATTTTATCAGTAAATCCGGTTAGTTTATATAAAAATATATAATATGAATATGAAGGAAAAAACATAAAACCATGGATGGTAAATGCCTGCAGCTACACACACACACCCATTCACACATTCACTCACTCACACACACACACACCCATTCACACATTCACTCACTCACACACACATATTCATACATAAAAAATACATTCATACATACATACAAAAACAAATACACGCAAAATGCATATATATGCACACTCACTTACATACTACACACATTCATATGAGACTGTATGTATCATACGGATACATACAGTCTCATATATACCCACACATATACTCTCATACATGGATACATACATAAACATACCCAAACATTCATACATTAACTTGCATACACGCACAATCATAAATAAACAATCACGCTCACTGGAACACACACGCACGCACGCATGCACACACATTCACATACTGTTACATACAAATTCATACACACATATACAGACAAACATGCATACATGTACACACTCTCATGCATACACATACATGTACCAATACTCATGCATACCCACCCATGGATATACACTCAATTCCCAAACACCTATACGCACACGCATCATCTCGTACATACTCAATCATACACACACATATACAGAAATGCACGTTTATAGACACACAAAAATGCACCCATTCATACATCCAGCACACACACACACACACACA